ATGGCATCTTCCATATATCGGACCCTCAGCCACAATTTCATTGAAAGTACCATGTACGACATTGTCTTTGAAGCTTTCCGGCAGTGTATGAGTTGGGTAACGTAACCATTCTGTAAATATTAAAACACAAAAAACAAAAACAAACAAACAAACAAACAAACAAACAAAAAACAATAGAAAATCTGTACCGATCATTATAAACACAGTCTACGGGAATGATTTTAGACGGGGATAAACATATTTGTGGCACACGCCGCCCCTCCCTCTAAAATATTACCAGCATGCATGTTTCTAACTAAATTAAAACTTATATTTAACAGACGTCTGAAAATAAGCGCTCGAAAGCTCAGAAAATTGCAGTTTGAGGGCCTTATTTTGTTTGAGGGATTTCCGAGACCCAAATTTCATACCACAGTTATTAAAAATCAACGGTTAGAAGAACTGGCAAATAAAATACAATGCATACTATATCTTTCGCTATAATTAGGAACGTTTTTACTGAACTAAGAGGTTAATTAAGTCGAGTACGGGGTTTGGGGACAAAGTAGCATTTTGAGAGCCTTTTATGGATTCCTGAAAACCATAATTTGTGAATATTATATTTAAATTTGCATTCATTTTGATGTTGAGAAACCTGATGAAGTACCTGTTTATGTCCTTTATATCTGTATATGCATACTATAGAATTTTGCGATAATTAGAAACGAATTTGTGACATAATATGGGTTTAAAAAGTGGACGTATTGGAATTGTGGTGTGGGGTGCGTTCCTGCAAACCTGCATACGGCCTGTTAAAACAAATAACATTATAGTAAAATTAAGTCAAGTACAGAATTGCATAAAAAAAAAATTACTTTTATTAATGCACAGTAAGGTGAATTCTGGTAGCAACGTTTTGTAGCCCGAACTATCAAATTCACATTCGAATGTTATGGCATCGAAGAATAAATAGCCAGGGGGGACTTCCAGATCCTTCACATTTAAATAGATATCTAGTGTACCTGTTAATGAAAGATACATATAAGCATGATTATTAAGCTTACTGGGTATACATACACACACATATAGGCCTATATATATATATATATATATATATATATATATATATATTTCCAATCTGCGACCTGTAAGCTTTTACTAGCTTATATATAGCACAACTATGTGTGAGCATTTCAATCAGTTGTATGAAGGAGAGGGCCTGTCAATAATTATCGGCCCATCTTACTTACATCAGTGGTTGGAAAACTTTTTGAAAAAATTGTAAATAACCACTTAAATTCTTATATGTAAACATATGACTTTATCAGTGATTTTCAACATGGATTTGTCTCTGGCAGATCCCGCACTACACTTTTAAGCAAAGTAGTACACGATTGGGCTACATACTTGAGGAGCGTAGGCCCCCCACCTTACATTGATGCTATATTTTTGGAGTGTGTGGTCCCTTGTGGAATTGGATTTCTTCCTTCTCTCTAACCGACAACACATTCTAAAGTTCAGAGGGGCTTCTTCAAATCGATCAAATTCATGTTCGGTATTATCCGGTGTCCCACAAGGGTCGGTCCTTGGACCAATCCTTTTTAACATAGGCCTATTTGTGTCAGTTGCTTCAATTTGCTGATAACACCATTTTCCAAACTGATATTAATAATATTCTTACTTGGTGCACGCTTAAACAAGATGAATCTGAATACTAAAAATGCTATCAAATGCATATCACAAGATCAGTTAGATTTAAAAATAGGCTCATAAGTAAAATGTCGATGGAAAAGAGCTGCAAGTTGTATCAGCTTGTAAATATTAGGTATCACCATTAATTCAAAACTCGATTGGAGCGATCATGTACTAGTAAATAATCAACCAAGTAAGACGTTTGGGTTTATAAAGCGTGTCGTACAAAGCAGAGATAAGTCCTTATTATGCAAACTTTACTCAGCCCTTGTAAAACCTATACCAGAATACGGTTACCAGCTTGGAACCCACACCTTAAGCCGGGTACTCACTGCGCGCGACGGCGACGAGACGGCAACGCGACGACGAACGCACGCAACGGCGCGGAACTAACGGATCGCTTTTTTAATGAGGATCTGTTCAGACGGCGTTACGTCGTCTATCGCTCTCCGGAAGCAGAGGAGGATTGTCGTGCGACCCGGCTTTCAAAAGCACATCACATCGCTCGAACAAACGAAGTATGACTAAAACATGTAATCTTTTTTCATCAACTCTATCCTAACCTGAACGACTTATTAAAATGAAAATAATGTCGTTGCAACATAGACTTCAGTTTATTATTCTAACATTTATTGCTAAATGCATGCATAGCCATCTAAACATCAACACATTTAAATACATTAATATTAATCACAGACACACAGA